TCACGAACCTAATTATTATTACATGGTAACCGTCAACCGACGGTGTTCGCATGTGATGTTTTTAGTTTAATCGCATTCACGGCGGTCTATTACCGTTAATTTACCACTAATCGATAAGTAATTATTTCTAAGCGACTATAATATTATGGCAATGACTAATGAATCATCAATAACACACTGATTCGTCACATCACGAGACAGAATCTTCGAGATGCTTGTCACAATATGATCGACACAGCCAGTCGGGCGTTGCAGATATACCTACCTTCCGTTATAGGATGTACATGATGCGATGGTAATGGCTGTAATTAATTTTAATTAATCATTATATTGTAATTATGTAAACAAACTTAATATACCGATTGATGTAAATACTAAAATTGTTTACCGGTTATCGAGTGCTGTAATGTAACGGTGCTCGATAACATAAATTATTTTTCTTCGGAATTTCATTTTTAATTAAGTATGTTATTTTAATTAGTGAAGAAATAACACTGAATTAAAATTTCATTATAAGTAGGTTATAAAACCTACTATTATAGTATTGCAACAAGTACAAATTTGCGGGCACACAACAGTAAAGCAAAATAATATCTGCATTTCGGTGAATCGTTTAACCTATTATAAGTATAGATATACAGTTGAGTAGATTTACATAATAATGAATATAATTTGTCTGATCCCAGACAAAATGTGCTCATTAAAACAGGATGTCTATGTTTACTAAATTTCCCAATACACCAGTTTTAGCATACATATAAATATTACTATAGCTATAAACGTATTTTTTATTTTGACACCTAAATGTTGGTCCTGATCATTAATTATCATAATCAATTAATTCTTGTCCGCAATGTTGAACGAATCTTGCAATTTATGAAAACGCTTTAAAGTTTACTGGCTAATTATCTTTAATACTAATATGGAGACATTTTTAAAAATTCTTAAACGAATTATTAACTGTCGTTTGTTTCTTTTTTAAATCCTATACATTCCAGGTTTCAGCTAATTATGATAACTGATATGTCTCTGTTAAGGATGGGACAGCAAATACTTGATTTTTCATTAAAAAAAAACCTTATTCTTCTAGTGTCTTATTAACATTAATTGTATACATAGACAAACCCGAATGAGAAAATCTAAGACGCATAGCACCAAAACAGCTCAACCCACCAAAAAAAAAAAAAATAATTTCGTTCTATTACATTACACATTTTAGAATATTATGATATTTCAAAACAAAACTTACCACACCATAAAAACATTGATCGGCCAGATGACAGAACTTATTTTTTGGAACTCACATTCAAAAATGCATTATTGGCTTTTTCTATTAAAATAATAGATTTGTGGATTGAGTTGTTTTGGCCATATGCGCCTCGTCTATAAAATTCAAAACCTTCAAACAATTTGAATTTTTCACGTTTTATCAATTTTCTCGCTCAGTATTAGTTATAAATTTTTTTTTTTCGACATTTGCTTAATAATATTGTATTTGTATTTCTACACGAAAATAGTAGCATTTATCGTCTTTTCGGAAATTCGGATGTTAAAAGTATAATTTAAGCAACACCGATTGTACTTTTTAATTATCTCTAAATCTCAAATACCGGGGGAAAAAGATGGAATACCGTTTTTTTTTTTGGTGTGCTAAAATAACGCGACGCGTGTTCAAAATCTGATGGCCGACCTTTCGGCCGAGAGATCAACCGGCAGCGCATCATAATGGAAGAACGAGTCAAGTTGCTCCCCCTCCCCCGCCCCGTTCGCTCATACTTATATTATTATAGTGTTTGCCCCTCTACTCGCGTTCCCCGGACCACCTATAATCTCTCTCGGTAGGTCTTGCCAAGTGCCATACACTCCGCGCAGACACAAAAGGTATATTTTTACTCCAGGCGGCCGCTGACGGGAGCTGTGCGCGGCTAAGAGGAGAAAAATCTCATGTATGCATATTTTCCGTATTATTTATGTTATATTATTGCTATAATATAGTCTATAGGTATTATTATTATTATTATTATAATTATTCATACTGCCAGCGCACCGTACGTGTGTATACATATACTGTGTCTGGGACATGCTGTATATGTTATGCGCAAGACACAATGGGTTTGTGGATAGCACACAAACGGGGAAGATACGCATCTCTCGGTATGAACCGTGCGCGATTGTTTGCCCGGAGACGGTGGCATTGGGATGTGTAATGCACACATCGGTCCGATCTGGTCGCAGGATAGAAGCATAAACAGCCACCGCGGCAGCAGGCAAATTTTACACGCCTCCTACGGGATAACAACGGCCGGCACGGGCACATGCTCGTCCCGGGGTGGGCGTACCGACCACTGCCGCTGTTGTTACACGGTGACCACCGGTGATTTATCGTGGTCGCCGGTAAAAAGCTGGCATTATCCTTTGGTGGCGGCACGATGTACGGCTCCCATATAATATGTCATGTATGTGCAGTTACCGGCAATATCCCGTTCCTATGTGTCTGTATAAAATACTGGAAATCCGGATTTTTTCCCCTGCGTGTAATGTAACAGTTAGGTATTGGCAAAAATAAGTTTCTTGTACATTTAATCATTTTATCTGTATCATGATATGATCAAATGTAAACACAGATGTATACAAAACAAATATAAATATATTATTTACATTTTTGTTTAACGACAAAATTTGACGTTTAATGATGACCAAAAATAATGACCCGTCGAGGGGTGGTCGCAGGTTACTAAAGTTATTATAACTGAAAGTGATAACATCGATTTCAAATAAACGCCTCGATGCGCATCTGTAGATATACAAGCATTGTCAACAAATAACAATGTGCTTAAAATTGTAATTTTTGGTATTAATGTGTATAAATATGTATAATATATATTGAACAGTATATTGAAAATATAGAAATTTACTGCGGTCAAAATGTAGTTTTTCCTTTTTTTTTATTTTTTCTTAATCGAGAGAAATTTTAACTACAAATATTTAAACAAATTGCATATGTTATAGCCCCAAACTAGATTTATCTTCAGTCTAATTTTCATGCATAAGTCCTAAAAGTTTTCTAAAAAATTTAGTTCTTACTCTTTCTATATGAGAAAGGCTTTCTGATAATTTTTTCAGTTTATTGATAGTACTTTATCTAAATAATATTCCGTACAAATTTTGAATTAATTCGACTATTTTTAAAACGTTATAGCGTTAATTATAAGTTAATTATAGTATTTCATCCATCATTTATTTTATTTTTACTATGTATTGGTTATTTACAATTTTTTTTTTTTAATTAAATTGATTACACAAACATTAGTTATTAGGTTAGAAGTATGGATTTTCATTTGATTAGAATTTAACTCAATTCTGTTTCCATTAAAATCCAATTAATTTGATGGAATTTCGCTATTATTATGGATATTTATCGACCGCCTAGTTGGATAACTATAATATGTTTATGACATGTTTTTAATATGCCTAAAGTTAAAAAATGTTTTTTTTAAACATATTCCCAATTGAAAATCTCATTCTTCCCAATTTCCAATATTTTCCATCTCTAACGCTATCCGCTACTTATCACAAAGCCCAAACCAATGTTTTCGGAAATGTATTAAATTCCTCCATCGATATATAGTATTATTATCGCCACGCGTTTTACGGTCCCCAAAATCATTAGGACTTAGGGTCCCTTTTTTATTACATCCATTCATACTACACCGTGCGGCGACTAGAAAATTACATTACACTATTCAACACATTAAGCGGATATGTTACCCAATCGTTGTAATGATAACATGCGGCGACGTCCGTTGTTTATATCTATTTAGGGGCGGATGTAATGAAACTTTGTGAACGGAAGTCACCATCGGATAGACGGAAAATGGGGTGAGAATACCTCGATATTTCCACTGTATGCGCGTTTATGGTGATTTGATAGCCACTTTTTTTAGCGTAGTTACTATACAACTAAATAGGTTACATCGTTTCCTTCATAGAAAAAGGGACCTAGTATTAAAAATGACAAGTGCAATAATACATATGCGAAAATTTTACCAAACGACTTATTTTTTATACACATAATGATAATAATTATCAAACGTCTAAACGATACAACTAATAGTTTGAAAATTATCAATAATTATTTTTGATTAACTTAAGGCGATATGGTAATAAAATCTACCAAAAAACTTAAAATTTTCGATTTAAAAAAAAAAAATGTTTGTCCTTTGGGATGTGGAGCACAAGTGTCAAAAAAGCAAAGTTCTCAATTTGTTCATTATTTCTCAGAAATATTAAAAATAGTATTATTTTAAAAATGGCTTATCACTTTGTACTCTTGACTTTTTTTTTATCTTTAGATAGCTTTTATTTTGAAAAATAATTGGAGTTGCCAGTGCAAATCTTGCAATCTGAAACGGAATAGGAGAATCCTAGCCCACTGTTCTAGATATGCAGGAGTGAATGAATAATGAACAAATTATTAAAAACAATAATATCATATACATATTAATCCGTTTAACTATTCAAAATATTTGCATTATTTACCATAATATATTATACTTTGTAAGTCTAACAGGAAGTGTACAAATAAACCCTATGAATTCCATTATGTTGTTTACAACAACTTAATCGCCATAGACCACAGTGCTACTATGTTGTTTGCCTATTATTAAGTAGTACACGCAGTTGTATGGTAAATAGAAATATTGTGTTGAACCATATATATATTATGCCACGTACAATAGGTATTATACAATCGCAGAGCCTTGGAACGTAGACGTCAGCAAATCCATAATGAATCTGGGTCCAATGTATGTGTTAAAAGCGCCACGTACGTTGAACTAGTTATATAAATGCATAAGACATAGGTTATCGATTCTGGTGTGTATTGTAAAAAAAAAAAATTTTTTAAAAAACTGTCTAAGCTAAAAAAAAAAAAAAAATGATAATAATATTTTACAACGATAAAACGGTACCGCCTTCTCGTATATGATTACACCGACTGTTATTAGGCGTTGACCAGATTCGATAAGGTCTCGTTGTGTTGTGTGTATGTGTGTTACTGGAGATTCAAAAGAACCGTTTAAATAGGGAATCTGAGTATAAAAGATAAAATGCCTGACACTCCCATCCAATGATTTGTCAAATTTGTCGAATAACCCGCAAACGTGTCCGCCCCCGACCACCGTTTTTATATTTTATATGTTTTTTTTTCCGGATCGACGACAATGAACGTGTGCCAATGGACCTCTGGGTCACGTGTGACCGAATTGCCTTAAACGTCCGGCAGCTGATGTCTGAATATATTGTGCAGTAACATCTTAAGACACCCGTACCGATGCAAAAACACACAACAATATCATTTGAATTTTTGTGTTAGGTACGGATAAAGAAAAGCGCAAAACTGGATCGGATCTTTGACATTCTTACCATTGTAACGAGCATAGCAGCTATTCAAAGCTATTTAGAGTTGCTCTCTGTTACCAAGCCGCGGCAGTAATAAGGAATAAACTATTATACACCTTCAATATAAATTTATAGCGAATTATTACCCTATAGTCGAACTGCCGTTTGCTGACTTGGAGGTGTGTATGTGGCTTTATAGAGGAGAAGCATGTCCAATTGTGCGTCACACGCTAACGGCCAGATTTTCTATAATCTTTGTTGGAAGACTGAAAAGGTGCACAAGTTCGTTGTTTGATATAATAATTGAGTCGTTTAACGTTTAACCGAATGCACATTATCCAATGGCCAAACACCCATTTTCATAATATCAGCATCGTTACTATGGGCTCACTGTAATATCATAGTTGCATGAAATAAGCGATGGACAAGTAAAATTTTAAGTTCTCGGTAAAATAATTTTGTCACAGGTCTAAACTTTGTACATGGTCACTACACTGTTGTACTTATATAATTGTTTTAATTATCTTACTGTTAGGTTTAATATGGAATTTGATTAAAACGGCAAAAATAATCAACTACTGCTACACAATTACCATAATTGGCCAACAATAATGAATATAATATGAAGAAAAACGGAGAAAGGCGTTTGTCCGCCATCCGACAAGATAATAATAAGATCATTGGTCAAGTACTTCTGAGTCGAACAACGATCGAGTGAGTACCCAATACATAATATTGATTATTAAGAATAATATGCTATTTAATTGTTGTCTGACATTTATAATGCACTTTATTACACACACTTACAGTTCACATTCAGCATGGACATAATAATTATTATTGTATGTCGTTTCACAAAGTAAAAATGATTATCTTAGCAAGTTGATCTAGTGCATTAATGTCGTTTTATTTTTCTATAGAAATGTCAAACGACTCACAATGACTCACATTGATTACAGGTATAATATTACCATTGTTCGTGTCACACTTAGACCTTAGATCCTTTCGCAACACAAACACTTAATGTGCACTTAACCACAAAAGTAAGTTATCTACTTTCTAGAGTGCGTCGTATGCAAGCTCACTAATTATTTAAAATGGCTGTCTGTTGTAATACTAATTATTTTTTTATTCGAACACAATTCGTATGTTATTAAACTAAAAAAACTAGTGAAAAGTCAACTACAAGGCCTAATATGAGTTAAGCGTAATCCGGATTTTTATGGAATTTTAAAATTCCAAAGTTAAATGCTATTTTAAATAAGATAATATTGAAAATATAAACTAGTTTTTAACATAAACATTTTATTTTGTTTGGATCTGGTATTTTTATTGTAGGTATTCTGAACAGAGCGCATACTAGTATTCCAAAGCACGTTCATTAATTGCAAATTTATTTGCAAACAATATGGCTCAATAATCGGGTTCGACAGATCTCTGTCAGACCTAAACGCTTGTTTTCTACGCACTACCGCTCTTATATAGGATAGATTAAAGTTAAGCCAATGGCATTCAAATTTGAGACGTTGATTATTTTCTTGATTGTACTTATACCGTATACCTACTAATTACTATCTATATTTATTTTTATATTTTTACTAAATTGGTGTGATCTATTTAATTTTCAGAATTATTATCAGAATATTATACGTACTTATATCAAACACAGTATCCCTTATGTATTTACATTACTTAATTATTAGTGTTATTTTATTACAATCAATCTTTATGTAATATGTTATTACTGATAAGTGCATACTGTGTCGTAAGGCAACCCATCCATTGGGCAGTTCGCTTGAATTCTTTAATAAAAAAGTGTTCCTCTCTCTTTCTCTCGCTATCTTTGTTTTTTAATACATTTTATTCGATATCGCTATCAACAAACAGATTTCTGACGGCGTTATTGATGATTTATGTACATAATTTGTATATTTTCTAAGAATAAAACGCCGTATAGCTGTGGACCACTTAACAACTAACGGCGAACACTTTGGTCTTAGAACGCCTGCGAAGCACACTGTCGCGATTATTGCCTTCACTCTCGAGACAACGGTCCATCAATCAACAGAGACGAAGAGGCATGATGATGAGTAATTCATTTTTTATAATTTTTTTTTTTTTTTACTAATTTCAATATCTACCGAGTGATTTGTGAGGACGACGACAACACAGTATTCATACAGAGTATTATTAGTTTTATTAGTCATTGCCACTCGGTATACATGCATTTCATGATATTATTAGTATTTAATATACATTCATACATGCCGAATCACATAAGGGAATTTTGATTAGTTGACTTTCATGACCCGTTTGTCGGTTGACATGCTTCTTATAATTATTATCATAACTCTCTGCAATGAGTGCTGCAGTATTAAATTTATTACATAATAATATATTCATCTTTCGACATCACAGTTGTATAATATAAATTTCCGAGACGTTAAAATATATATATATATATATATTAATCGTTTTTAATAACGATCAAAAATACTTAGAAAATATTAATAAAACAGAATCACCTATTATATTATTACATTAGACCTATGGTAAGTCCAAATACATTGTCAGTGCGTTATTGCACTGTATAAGTATATACCAGCCTCTAGAACGCACATGTAGTGTGACAAGCCGATGAGGAGGTTATAGTTTTCGATTCAATGCAAATGAGATGAAACTGCACAAAGCGTAAAGCTCAAAAGGTTAACTAGGTCGCATGTGAAGAGAACAATCGGGGAAACTGCACGCTTGTGCGCCTTGTGTGTCGGTCACCCTGTATAAGTATGGACATAAATCGAATGTAAACATTTTAGGTACCCAATATTTTAAATGTATACGTTATAATAGTATGTATAATTCTTTACAAAAGTCATCGAGTCAATATGCTTAATTTATGATTAGGAGTTTAGTCACACCGCGCAGAGGTTTAATACTATTTCTTTAAGTTGTCCAATGACTATCGTTTTGCCAAGTACATTTAAATATATGGCTATCGTGTACCTTTCAGCGGCGGCCTTTGGGGTTCGGTATGTTCCTATGCGAGACGTGACTAATAAGAAAAATCTATATGTTTAAAAATGTTTTGTATCTAATATAATGCCTGACTTATGCCTTACCGACAATTAATTTAGAGTAAGCCTATAAAAGTACAATTTAATACGCCATCTAATGGATAAAAAAATATGGTGCGAGCCTAAAAAACTTTGTTTTTTTAAGCTAAAACAATATTATATCTAACAATAAATAACGGGTTCAAACAAAAATTTGTTTTTCAGTTTGTCTGATAAACATAAGAATAAGATAAAATATGTTATAACTGCTACATTGACACTAGAGCCTAGAACAAAATCCAAAGGCTCAAACACTATGTATGGGTGATATTGTGCCGGGTCACGGCAAAAAATCAAAACACAAATAGATTCAACGACTTGTTATTAATTAAACGAACCGATTACGATTAACTATTTTTCGACATCTGACCTACATGCGAGTCAAGTGACTCTGCGCTAAACGGTCCAGAATATTATTGCTGGACGGATAAAAACGGCTGAACCCTCGGCCCCCCTGTAGCTTTTCGGGTCGACCACGTTTCGGACTATCGGCCGGTGCACGACTATATATAACAGATCGCGTTATAATGAATAATATTGTAGAGTATTATTAAAAAAATAATATCACATCGGGTAATTAATTTCCGTGTCAGGCCACACAAGACGATTGATTATGCGCTGCTATATCGCCGTTGTTAAATAGGTCTAACCGCTCGGAATCAATACCGATCCACAAGTGTCCAGCCAAGGTCTACGCGAGATAACGACTTACATGGTTAAGATAAAACTGTATTAATAGTAGTGGTGTCTAGCGATGAAAGATACAAGTGTAAAATATTATATTCTTATAAGTTATAAGGATCCGGTGTCGCTTATTCGATAAAAAAACAAATCGATTTATTACTTTTGAAATAATCCTGAACGCCCAGCACTAGTATCACACGTTTTATCTTCATCATTTATGAGATCTGTAACATAATATAGTAATTTTAATTTATCACTAACAGAGCAGTGACTCGGTGATTTCAATAACACAATAATTTATATGAAACAACATTTTTTGGGGACAAGTTTTGTGATAGGCAGAAAATAGACCAAGGAATTTCAATCCAATAAACAAACTGACCAAATGAGTTTTTGGACACTTAAAAAAAAAATGAATTGAAACAAGACACGGGGTTGGGTATGCAAACAGGTTTTATGTCCAAACAGAGTAAAAGTAATAAATTTACAGTTGATGGATGGAGAACGCCGGTGAAAAAAATCTAAATAACAAACAAATAAGATAAAAAATTGTATATCAGTATTTATAATAACAAAATATATAATACAAAACGCTAAAAGTATCTTACGTCTAATTTATCTCAAGTTCAAGCACTGCGCCCGAAAAAATAAAGCAAAACATTCCATCGACTCTAGAATAAAAGGTGCTTAACCTTCTTAAGAACACCACAATACGAGTAATTTGCAATTTTACAGTGTTAATTTGTAAACTTAAAGTATTTTAGGTAAAGATGATCTTTTTCGACTTGGGCGAATATAAAAGGTGTCGTTGGCGAAACCCAAAAATACTTTCTTGGCAAAATAAATAATTCTTATCAATAAGATTTCATCAATATCGACCATTTTCTTCCTTAGCAGTTGTAAGTACATAAAGTAATATAGGTAAACAGCCAATTGAAAAATAATTTACTAAATATGCAAACGCGGTCATATATGTTCTAGCCACAAACGCTCAAACGAAACTCGAGTGTTCGTCCAAAACGTTATTGCGATGATTTTCTTCGTTTTCCTGTATCATGTATGTGGACACAATACGAATTCCGGACGTAGTCGGCGGTTATTAAACGGGACGCACACTTAAGTCCGAGACACCCCGGTGATGTGTAATAAATATATATATATATATACTGTACATGTATAACGACCGACGAATAATCCACCTCCTCCCTCGCCGTCACTTTCACCGCGGTATGCGCGGTTAACCGGCAGAGGGACCTCTCGTGATTAATACCCGGGAATTCCTTACAAATGGTGCCGGAGCCTAATTTGTGGCCGACCGTACCCCAGTCGTCATTACCTCGGATGTCGCCGTAAGCCCATTGAACGGCCGTTCAATTCGGAGATGGGAGAGCTTGTAATTGAAACTTGCACGGGGCCCGGTAACATTTGTCCTTGTACTGGGAACGGTGATAATAATAATAATAAAGACCGCGAAAGGGGACGAAAACACACACAGACTCCACCGATTTGGACCGTCGACGCGCCCTCGCCACACAGACAATAACAGCCATAAGACATCCTTTGTTTTACACCAAATTTAACCATTACGGCGGTACGCGAATGACCGATCCTCGGTATTATTAGATACAGCTGTAGGGACTATCAAAATCCGGATTAAAAAAAAAAACACCGATGGACGCATAGTACCTATTACTTTCAAGCGCTGGAAAAGAGCAGCGGTAAGGAACAGATATTATCTAAATGAATACAGTCGCATATGCCCGTGCAAGAGGGCCGTCGATAAGAGAAAAAAAACTTTGGTATGTTTTTGCACGAAACACGAGTTTCCTCGTTTCTGGCCTAACGTTGCCTCGTATAAGGTCTTATATCAAAAGTAAAAACTACCTCCCAAAACGCAGAAACGACCAAAAGTCGAAGATGCTTTTACACAAAAGTAATTTAAAAATTGTTGTTTCTATATAAGCAATTCTCAAAAATAAAGATTTGCATTTGGAAACAGAAACCAGATAAATATAGTACGGTTATGATCTCGCCGTGTGACAAGATCCGTGAGCAGTAAATTGCCACTTATAAACAGAAAGGGCGAAAGACGAGTAATATGAAATCACCATCGACCGCTTTGACTGATTGGACAGGCGCCACTAATGTATCGTACCGATTTTAATAACAGTTTTTATTGAAGTTAAACGGTTCACGTACAATAGTAAATTGATTTCTACAGTGTTCGGCGTCACAGCTACATAAGATCTTACTAGTCAAACAGTGATTTAAACGTAGAACAATGATCAAAAAATAAAATACACTGCAACAAACACGCAATAGGAAGATAAAAAAAAAACAATCAACACAAATCCTATTTTATTTGGGGGTTCGGTATAGGGTATTTTTAATTTAAATGTACATGATGCACAAGTGTACAGTACGAGTGCGTATAATATACAAATATAAGTGTACAATAAGGAAAATCTTTAATTATTGGCTGTTATTGTTTTTATGAGACCGTTAACAGCCTCTATTTAAAAAGCATTTAGAATATACAAAAACGCAACTTCGCAAATTGACGCTGTAGGAATAAATCTAAAAATATACCAAGAAAACAATTTAAAAGCAATAAAAACAATTTGACCACGCGCACGGGTCATGATGAATCGTTTTGTAAATTTATTAGGCTATTAATTTTTTTTAACCAAATTTACTTTTTTTTACCCGAACGACATCAGATAAAAAATAGTTTTGACGACTTTTATCGTTTTTCTAACGAGACAAATTCGAGTTCATTCAACACCCCATTCCATTAACTCAATCACTATTAGGACCGTCTACTGTCTGCACAAGTTGCAGTTCCCCGGTATTGCACGATTGTACCTACACACATATTTGTTGTCATTTCTTTATATTATAATATTATTTTCCAGACGAGGACCTCCTAAGTTTTGCGAAACTAACGTGTGCGGTCTTCCAATCAGCATTGTTATACAATAATGTATTATTCTACTGGCTCGAGTACAATGTGAGTCCAATAATAAACGAATGCATTGTGCATTATTATTAATATTATTACAATTTAATACAGTCTTTGACCGGCGAGTAATACCCTCGTTAGACGGTTACGGTTTTTTGTTATTTCAATTAATAATGTTTTTATTTTTTTTTTACAGATTAATCAGTTTGGAAAAAAAATAATCACATCTCTTATTAGTATGAAAATGTGAAAATCGATGGCGGCTACGGCCACGCCGAGATGGTTTGCGCAGGGTGTGTAGACTCAGATAACGGTTATAGGTTTTGGGAACCCTCTGCGAGCCAGGGCCGCCGTCGGGACGATACGAACAATTAGCATATTAATTTGTTTCTGCGTCGAAAAGATAAAGGACAAGTCTCCTCGCACAGTTTGGCTCATTGTGTGCTTGCAATCCCAGTGTTGTTATTTTTGTCGGCCGGTAAACCGATAAACGATACGCCGATGATGTTATTATTATTATTATGTGAAGTGAGAAGCCGCAGATTAAAAACTAAATTTCAAAGACGGCGGCTTCATGATAATTTTGAACATTTTACCGATAATCCGCATTGTATAATATGCTAAGTTTTTATGTAATCGAATAGTGAATGTTGTAAAAAACACCGTTTACTTTGATATTTTAATAACCAGTCGCACTAGAAAAAATTATACGATAAAGTAAAATTCAAATTTAACGAAAACAGTTCTAAAAACCTAAACATTCCGGTTCTTGTTCCAAAAAAAAAAAGTAAATTTTTTCTGTACAGTGTTTCTATAACTTAATTAAATTGTAATATAATTATTACTGATTCATAAATATTAAACATTACAATATATCATAATTCACTTTATAGAAATTTTGTATTTCGTTTTATTATAATATATCAGAAAAATAATTATTTTTAAAAATTGTAAAGATTCAAAACATTCTTGTTTTATTCCAAACATTTGCTCGATTAAAACAAACAAAAAACTGGCCGGATTTTTTTTTTTTTTTACAACGCTGGCATTAACTCTTATCTTTTTAATTGTCTGCAATATATATAATTTAAGATAATAATAAACGATAAAGACAAAGTCGTCAAAATCTTTCAGGTCATTAACATAACATTTTAACTATTGACAAACTACCAACACAAATTGTATTGATATACTACTCATTATTTAATACACCTAATAATTAATGTTTTAAGTTTTTATACCAATTAAAGAGCGCCACACTACTTTTGTTTGTAAGCCACGGCTCGAACAGATACCGTGTGGGTATAATGTATAATGAGGAACAACACACATACACATTAAACACAGATTTACAGTAACATACTAACATATTCCACCGAGAAACACCGATGCACCTGTAGGTTGACAAAAACATAAGGCTAAAGTCGAGGCTTTTTCAATATTAACTTTTGTTGGCTATTGGAACAAGCAACTGCTCTACCAAAACATGTTTTACTATCAAATAGTATGTTTTGTTCTCAGTTCATTGCGCTCGTCAAATTTGTTACATTTTTAAATGTCATGTACACTTATTTCTAAATAACTTGCATACATATATATATATATATATATATACTGTGATCATTAGCGCAGGTCTTCCGCCTTAGAAACGTTAAACGAGACGAATATAATCATATTATTAGCCTGTGCGGGAGATGCAGACGGTTTAACGCGCAAGATTCGTCTTCACATACACATCAGTTAATGCCGTTCAGCTGTTGGAGGACAACGGTGGGATCCTTTAGGGATATTCAAAATGTTCCCATCGTTACGTTTAAGTAGTACTTTATCAAAATATATTTCCTCCTCCGTGGCAACAAATCGTCATGAGACGGTGTTTCCAACGGTACAACTTTTCAATTGGAATAAATAAATTCGCTATTGTTAATTGAAAACAACAAGAAACGTCAACTGTATTTGACTTGTGCTTAAGAATTACTATACTAACTTTACTAAATAAAAAACCTATGGGCGTTGTGTATGTGTATTATAGAAATGGCCGAATCGAAATGGATTTAAGCAAAATATACGGATTAAGCGAAATATGTTTTATTAAATAGTATATTTGGAGTCTAAAAATGACTTTTCTCAAGTCAAACCTATACCAAACGTAAGTCAAGCCTAAACTAAGCCTAAGTCAAGTCTAAACCAAACACAACCAAACCTAAACCAAAAATCCCTCCATAATGATGAAATGACGTCAGCACTGTCACAAAACGCGACGGACAAATTTGCAGAATGACCCCCAGCCATAAAACATATCTATGCCAAAATTGGGTAACCTTAGCTTGGACGATGCCAAAATTATGTTTCAAAAATGACTATCATCAAAAAGCTTTAGTTTGAGTATTTTAAAAATCGTAAATATCAAAAAAATGGGACATGCCATTAACTTGGAAAATGCCAATAGTCTTTTCAAAAATGATTTTTTTTAACAAAAAAAATCTCAACATTTTCAATTTTTAAAAAACAGAATTTATTGAACTATTACATATTATACAATTCAGAGGTATTTTTTATATGAAAAAATTAAATGTTATTCATAAGAAAAAAATCAATGATTTTATCAGTATGTTCTCCTGGTCAATATCTAGAATTCATATTTTAAAATGCCATGGAACTATGTCGTGTGAAAATTAAAATGAAACATATCTACTTATCTTAATTTATAAGTAATATTTATAAAAAAAAAATTAATACTTATGTATGAATATTATATTTTTGTTTGATTACATAACATAATAAAAATATATATTTGTTTAATATTAAACTAGTTGATGTGTTAAACTCGAGGAGCTCCGTGAATTTGGTCCCCCGAAACAGTATATTGGTTAAAACACCGAAAAAAATATTTTCAAATTCTGAAACCAGATTTACAATTAGTTACAATTAATTTACAAAAGCTTGGCACTAATTTGGAATTGATAGGATAATGTAGGGGGCCCAACTTCATATACATAGCTTTTCCCTATATAGCATATACCCCATCACTAAATAAAATAAAAACCTGTGCTGTCACATCATCGCGGTGTTACAATATACCTACTTTGTTGTTAATAATATTATAGTATATAGCTGTTATTTATACATTTTTGAACGAGTAATCGTGACAGCATTTGGGTGCACTCGAGTCGGTACAATGTTACACTGTACAAAACTACAGACTATAATATGTTCGTCCTAAGGTAACGATAATAATATTGTTGTTATTCGTGTTAACGCGATTACGATTACAGATTTTTTTTTTCTTTTTCGAAAATCTACTGCACGCTTCACGAACATCTTTTATTATTGCCGGCCGACAAAGTAGTCAACACGATTTCGGTCGGGGAAAAAAACCATGATCTCTCGAGTGTAGCTGCGGTAGCTTAAAGAGGATTTCGGTGTTTATTCGACTGGACACACGTTTCATAGTGTCGGTATTGTAAATAATGGGAACCGCCTCACGGTGCGGATCCAATGGGATAGACGACGCGCACGTTTTGGGTAAAAGAGAAAAAAAATACCAAAACAACTTATTTCCAAGTCACACGCAAACTCTCCATAAGAATTTGCATTAGGTATATTGTTAAATACAAAAAAATTTGCGTTTTTTCCAAAAATATTTAATATACTTACACACTCGGCTATTACTAACTACTAGATTATATTTGCATACAGTTCTGAAGGTTTGTTTTGAATTTTTTTATTGAAATTGCCTTTTGGACAACCGATTTATGCGTTATCTAGAAATTTCAATGAAAATATAAGTTGTGATCGCCCAAGTGTTTAACAACTTAAATAATATGCAATACTTACACATATCATAGAGACAAGAGTTTGAAACATCAAGAATAATTTGATTAAAAACGGGTTTTTTTTTCATTCCTTTTTAAATTTTAAAGGGAACGGTTGACAGTGAATATTAAATGCTTTACGGAATTCGTTGGACACATAATTCAAGTGTGAAATTAATTTTGATATATTTATATTATTTCAAATTTATAAATTACATTTTTTTTTCTCCAAATACTTGTTTTAATAAATTTAATTAAATAAATCAAAATATGTGCTTAGTCGGCATTGTAAGAACAAATATTCTGGGTATCAGGAAAGCTGCAATTTAATAGTCCAAGCCGGTAGTCAAGATAATCGTACCACAGAGTAGATAATGCAAAAAACAATTTAGGAGCCAGAAGCTGCGATTGACTGCCCTTCAAATGCCCGCATACCTCGGTCTGCGCCCCGGGACTGAGGCCTCTGGGTTGGACTCGTGGAGGTTGTGGGACTTGCTAGGTTAGATGCTACTAGTATACTCTGGCTAAGTCATCAAACAAGTACTTATGCCCTTCAAATGATGGCGATGAAGAATAGTCCTCAATAAAAAAAATATATACATTTTGTGCTCTTCAAATGTTTGAATTAAATTTTGACTATATTTTATTTATATGTGGAAACGACGAAGATTATTTATTTTTCTTTTGCTGTTAATAAAGCTGTTCCGACTTTTTCGGACGACTACTATCTAAAAATGTTACTACCTCAATAATTGCGCTAAGAGGTCGACGTCCCCTGGATGTTTATACCTATATATACCGCAGTCGTGTAAAACATATACTTAAGTACTTATGTACTTTATTTTTCGTTTGCAACCGAATTCCATTTTCACGATTCTTACGGCTGGTCGTCGGCGGAGGAGAATCCTATACTTTCCGTTTACGATTATTTCTTTCTTTTCTTGTTTTTCGTTTCATTCTTCTTATCCCGTCGTCCACTTGTAACAATATAATATTTACTATTATACATACATATATTGCTTCGGGGCGTCCGCCCGAGACTAATGAGTTTTTAACGATAACTTAATTGACGCCTCGGATCGTGTGTCTTCTTGTTGGCGGTCCAGAAAAAGATGATACACGATTACGGCCGGTGTGCGAGTGAAAGGGAAACCGTGTTTAAAGAAGAATAATACAAAGCCGGCCGACGTGTTACGGATAAGACGTGCACAATATAATATATAAATATATATATATAGATAGATATTACCTATATGTACGGTGTGCGTGTAGAAAAAAAAACACGGTCAAACCGTGCTGGTAACCGTTTGCGCGGGAGGAGCACCGCCGGTTAGCCTGAACTTTTATAATAAATTAAAACGGTAAAGCTCAGGGAAAAAAAATTACATCCCATTTGTGTGTGTAAGGTAACCGTGTCAGTTCAGTGCGCCAAACCGAAAACACTTCTCACTTTTTTTTTTATCAGCTAAAAGATTAAACGTAACCGTTCCACGGGTTACAAGTCCAAGATTTACCGCTAAAAAACGTTTTATAATATATTATATGTACCTAATCGCAATTATTCACTGTTGGTAATCAATCCATATAATCTTTCAATACATTGACGCGCGAGTTGAAAACTTCGTTAATAATTGTTTTTTATTTTAGTTAGTTTATAGTTGATATTGTATTACTACGGGGTGATTCACTAAGAAAAGACACTAATTTTTTCATAAAATAATTGCAATTTTATAGTTTTTTTATATGAAAACATTTTTGTTTAATATTATATAATTACTAAATTCATAATGCGTGCACATAACAATAACTCTTTCCACCGCCCTTCTTCCTGTCCTTAAACTTTAATAACGTTAAAAATAATTATCCAAAACTGGTCACAATCGACCAGTCAACATTATTAAAAAAATATTCTTTATTTAAAATGTAGTTCTTATATATACGTTCTTATTTAAATTTTAATAACTTATAGCACTTTGGAATAAATTAAAGAAGATAATAATTCGAATATTGCACAATAACATAAACTGAAATATCTCAAAAGGAAAAAAATACAAGTTTAAATGTTTTT